AGTGTAGAGTCAAAGCTCGCTTCAATTCCGGCAGTCTGTAGAGAAGATGTCCAAATCCAAACCACAGCAGTTGCTCCATTTTCTCCTGTGACTTCAGAGCAAGATCAGGAGGGAGAGCTGCAGCATCATGACATTGTTCACGCTCCCATTGAATCCTGGCCAAGGAGAACTGTAGGAACACCATGCAGAGATGCTTTACCCGATGTTGAGGGGGATCACAGAGACATCTTTGGACACAATTCAGATTGATCATCAGTTCTGAGGCTCGTTGTTCCATCTCGGCCCATTCAGAAGGATGTCCCTGTTTGAGATGTCTAGATAAATCTTGACGCCTTCGAAATGTCACACTGCAGTCAAAACACTCCCTCGAAATGAAGTGAAGGATGTCCGGATCGCTGAGCACATCTTCACAGCGATTCGTCTGTACTGCCTGATCGAAAAGGCACTTGGCAGTGACACGATTCCAGTTAGAATCATGCAGCGCCTGTTGCGCAGAATGAAACTTCTGGATGTGCTGAGCCAGGCCATGTTTAGTCGTATAGGCCTTGCCACAAATGTCACATACAAGCTGAAGTTGCATGTCGATGTCGCAATACACAGCAGCTAAATCACGTTCTGTAATCAGCATAGCTAATTGTCGCCAAATAATGCAACGATGATATTGTGCAAAAGCAATTGAGCACAGCTGGCATGGAGTGTCGACAAGCACATGTTGACAATAGTACTGTAGAACAGGCAGATGGTTCTTGTACGTCTGGGAATGATCATCACTCCAGTGTCGCATCAGTCCCGTCTGAGTGATGTGAAACTTGCCACACAAAACACAATGATTCAAGAAGTACATCAGTAGGGAGGCATGCAGACAAAGATCAGCTACTTGATGTGCCCGAGCAAATTGCAGAAGCTCTTGGACCCGCAGTCTGTGCTCAACCTGATCAATCTCCTGCAAGTCAGCAGTACAAATGTATTGCAGATGATAATGAAATCTATGCCATGTACTGAATCGCAAGTGACATCTTGGACAGGTAGGTACGCTGGTAACAGGTTGATTCGACATAAGGCGTAGCAGACCCGATCGGCTGCCATGTGCCACTGTGCAATGCCTGCGCAGGGCTGCAAGTGTGAGAAACACATGATGACAGTCAGGGCATTCATGCTGTGTCTGGACCTCGTCAAACGTCCTGGCTTCGGTCACTTGCGCATGCACTTTCGCAATGACCTGCAGTAAGTGGTCATAACAAGGTAGCGGCGTGAGTTTCAGAATGTCATCATCCTCCAACTGTTGATGTCTGTTGAGTGATTGACGGGCAGTCTGAAGGCACAGATCACGCAGTCGCATCAAGGGATCCGGCAAGTTACATCTTCGAAGAAAATCTGAATTGCTTTCATGAGATAAGTGAACAGGATCACGGTGAATTCTGCGTAACTGCCTGATGCTGAATCTGTAAAATGAGAGCAATGTGACCTCTGTGAATCCCGTGGCAATGATACCGTATCTGAGACAAGTGAATATGCATTGGTACCACAATTTGACACGTTGTGTCTTGGTCATCCTTTGTGTGTAGAGCCAGCGGTGAAGTTGGTGAGCCGACTGATCACTGTGCTTCAATCGAAGGGACATAGTCTCTTTTTCAAAGTTGTAGTAGGAGAAAACCACACCAAGATATCTGAATGATTTAACAAGGCGTATCAAGGTGTGTTTCCCATGTGCTCTGGGAATCTTGAGAAAAGTACCCTGTTGTGTTCGCACAACATATCGTCGTTGCATTTTTCCCACCAAGCGCCCACGCATGCGCATGGTCACCGTTGTCTTGGTCAAATTCACTTCAAGATGTGCAGATTCAATCAAATCTAAGAGTTTGCCAAAGGCGTTCACCAAGTTCAGAAAGCTCGCCTCATCATGAAAAGTTTGATGGGAACAGATGTCGTCAGCAAAAATTGTAATGCAATACATCAGAAATTCAGGTGAAATTGTGTGACCAATGTCCAGCATCAGGGCTGAGATGAAAACTGTCCAAAGGCATGGTGCTGCACGGCAGCCTTGTCGAATGCCACGTCTGGTTGTCACAGACCTGAAAGCGCCTCGGTGTTCAAATTCATATCTTGTAGTGTTGTAGACGCATTTCAGGAGAGAGATCAGGTCAGCTGATATGTCAAGTTGTTCCATGCTCTGGAAGAGCCTGGTGCGATCAACCATGTCAAAAGCCCGAGTAAGATCAAGGCTCAGCGTCATTCCACCAGTGAGAGGAGGAATCATGAGTCCTTGTTTCAAGCTATGAATAGGGTGACTCAATGCATCCAATGATTGACGAACCACCCGACAATGATGTGCTAATCTGTGGATTGCGTCCTCTGTACCACGGCCTCTGGCATAGGCAAATTGTGGCAACCTGTTCAAAAGGGTCTGAATCTGTTGTTGAATAGCAGATGTGACCAAACCCATCGCCGTCTTACCTGTCGGCTCCAACAGGGCAATAGGACGCAATTCTGATGGGTGTTGGCCCTTCTTACCTGGCTTCACTAACAGGGCAATTGTTCCAATTCCCCAAGATTCAGGAAATTGCTGTCGACCACAGCAGTCATGAAATAATGGGTCAAGAAAATTTGCAATTGGCTCAGCCCCATACTTCCAGAACGGAGCAGGCGAAAAAGAAGGGGCCAAGGCCTTGTTGGATGGCAATGACTGCAACCCACGTGCAAATTCCTGAGGTGTGAATGGCCAGTCAAACTCAGGGATACAGGTAGAAGGGATTCCATCTGAGTACAGGTCATGATACCATTGTTGGAGCCAGTCAGCAGCAGCGTCAGATCCCAGTAGTTCACCTTGTGAAGATCGCAACATGATTCGCTTGGCTGGTTGTTTGGGTGCAAGTGATCTGATATGTTGAAATAAGGTGAAGTGATCTTTCGCCTTCTCAGCTTGATCAGCCGCATGAAACACCTGGTCAAGTCTTTGCTTTCGTGACTGTTTGGCAGCAAGATTCATAGCTTTGCGCGCAAGATTGCGTTGACAAACATGATTCCATGCAGCAAAGAGCCCGGCCAAATCAGCAGTGTGGATCTTGCGGAGCTTCCACGTGTGATCCTGAAAGCGCTTGAATGGTCTGGCATCAGTGCGTGGAGGTCTGTCAGGATTTGATCGTGAATGCAAGGAATTGACCTTGATCTGCATGAGATGTTGATGTAGTGAAGAAAGATCAGGTTGATGTTGTTGTGCAAGCTCATGGACAGTGTCATGAACAGTGGTAACAAAGTCCGCAAAAACAGAGTCTCGATTGAGGCAATGTTGATGCAATTGAAGGCGCTGTTGCCTTGTCCATCCCAATGGCTGTGTTTTGTGTGCAGGGTACCAGACACGCCTCAGTGATGTCAACAATGGCACATGATATGCTCCTGTTATCGGCACCAAGGTGAAGTCACGCAGATGCTTGACGTCTCTTGCTAGTTGATCAGCATGAATACGACGAGTGCAAATGTAGTCAATTCTGGAATGTTGGTCACCGAATTCATAAGTTGCAGTGTCGTGGATATTCCAAGTATTAAGTGCACTCAAGTCAAACTGCAGTAGGAGCTGGTGCCAGTGATTGACATCTGAATGTCTTGGGCCATGACTCCTTGTGTCTCCACATTTGAACGTTGGGATCCCCACAGCGTCGGAACGTTGGTCTGTCGAACAATTAAAGTCACCAGCCAAAACCAAAACATTCTTATTGGAAAGAGTTTGCAATAAGGCAAAAAGTTGATGCCAAATCTGCTGTCTTTGTTCCATGTGCGAGGGAATGCATGTGAACTGATATACGTTGATAAGATCAATGCATCTGTTCTTGCCATGGATACGAAGTTGAAGCACTCTTCCAGGGACATGTTCATACCAAGTCAGTTCAAATGGATTGCAAATTCTTTTAGAAACCATACACAAGAGGCCAGCCTGCTTTGATTGAGAACCCGAGTGTGCCATCATGTACTTCTCCGAGACCCAGTCGCGGGTGAATGGCCAGTGAGTTTCCTGAAAGAATAAAATGTCGATGTCTTGGTTGTCCAGCCACATCATCAGAAAATCCCAATGTGAAGGTGGAAGCCCGTTGCAATTCCATGAAAAACAGGTAAAACGCTGTCGCAATGTTGGCTTGGATGGTTGTACATTCTTTGACTGCTGAGGGATTGGAGGAATTTTCACAGTAGTGCCCAGTTGGGTGGCAGTGTGCAATTTCCCTTTGTACCACGTCACTCCGTGTCGTTCTGCCCGATGGACAGCTCTTCTGAAGCTTCTCTTACAAACTGTACGTTTCTTACTGGTCTGAGGTGATTCGTAAATCTTTTGGGGCCCCGATCCATGATGTTTCGCAGTGTTAAATGAATGTCGAAATTCAGAAAACAAGTCTGCTCTCATGTCATCCATGGTGATGACACAACCCTCACCCCACTTTGGACTCCACCAAGTATCTGAATGAAAAGAAAGCAACAAAATCGTCAAAATCTGTGCCAACATGTCCAAAGCCCGGAATTGGGACCGGGGTACAGCTCGGAGTGTCGATCAAGACCAAAAGCTTGTCACTGTGTACTCAATGAAGAACTGGAAGTACCAATAGTGAAGATACACCCAATCAAGGGAAGCTTTATTCCAGCAGGAAAGGGTGAAATACAAGCAAAGAAAGATGTCGAAACCAGGTGTAGGCAGCTGTCAGCAGTGAAGAATTATAGTCCAAGTAGATACGTGCAAGGTCCAGTGAAATGCTCAGGGAGACCACCCCAATTGCAAGAGGACCTGCTCAGGATCCTTTCAGCGCTGTCAACAGCAGAGCCGCCACAGCACCGATCGTCAACTGAGACAGCAGTTCGCCAATGCACCGCGGGGCAATACGAGCGGGTGGCAGTGGCTGCAGCAGACACCTAGGATCAACAGATCCTTGATCGCGGCACTCGCGGCCGCACAGGGGCTTGTGTGTGTGTGTGTGCGCGTGTTGGCATTCTGTTGCTGAGGTTTCTCCCATGAATTCTTCTCACCATGGAAGGTACCACCAAAAGCCCAAAGCCTCATGGATCTTTTGGAGGTAGCCTCGGGCTTTGTCAAGACCTGCTCAGTTCATATGCTTCAAGTGGCTGCGTGTCCGGAATCCCTTCATGGATCCTATCATGAACTGGAGCTGGCCATGAGCTTGCAGCACCCGCCTGCGTTGGCGCCCATGTTCATCTCAGGGTCAAAACGGATGGCTCCATTGGCACCACCGCATTGAGGCCACTCCTTGATGCGCTGGTCATAGGTGCCAGAGTCGTGCCAAGCCAAGCGAACCAGAATGGGATGGCAATTGCGAGTTTCAATCAATTCCTTCAACTCCTTAGCTCAAGCTGTCAGTTGCTGCTGGCTGCATCAGCATCCCTCTCCTAAACCACCTCAACTGCACCAGGGCTTCAAAGAAGTTGTCGAACGTCATTCATTCAACCAAACCAACTGGGAGACTGCTAAAGGAAACGGATTGCATGATCATACTTGTTTGTGGTAGCTGTGTTTGGTTCGCTGCACTCAATCCAAACGTGATATTCATAGCTGTTGCCTGCTAGAACAACATTCCCATGCCAAAACCACCAAACCTGCCCTCTGCAGGACGAGAATCCTTCTTGCAAGCTCGCAGCTCCGTCACTTGGGCGCTGCCGCCACCCAACATCTGATAGCATCCCTCAGAGCAAGCGTTACCCATGACTGGCGGAAGACTGGCACAAACAGTCAGGCAGAAAAATGCGGGAAAAGCTGGAGCCAAATGCAACCACAGGCAAGATCACAACTGCAAAATGCAGTTCGTTTTTTGCTTGCCGACTGCCTTTGAAAGCCTCTGTTTCAATCCGCTGAGGAAGTGAAGCGGGAAAAGCTAAAAAAATAGGCTCCAAACTCCAAGCAGGTATTCCGAACTGCTGTCTGTTGCCGTTTTTCTCCAAGTCTCGCCAAGAATACGGCAAGCAACTCATAGAACTTGTTCAAAGAGATATTACTTATATATATATATATCGATGCATCTATGGTATCTGCTGGAAACGATTCTTCCTGTTGGCTTTTCAGAAGCCATGATCTCGTCACTCCTGTGAGTTTACACTTCAGCCCGGTCAGTCGGGCAAATGCTATTTAATTATTTCAAATTGTGGGTCAAAACGGGTCCTGTCACAGGAAGCACGCATTTCCAAAGACATTTTTTCTACCGCAGTGGCATAGGCAAGCATCACAGCATCGTGGGTTCCTTCCATGGCTATGTGCCCCAAGCACATAGCCTCGCGCCAACGAACAGCGCGACCCAGCGTTGTCACCGCTGCTGCCCAGCTGGTTTCACCAGCGGCATCACTGGCAGCTTGCTGTACCAGGACGAGGCTTTGTGGCCACTGATGGGCGGGACAAGCTGTGATGGCCGTAGTGAAGGAAACCACGTTGGCTTCGCCTCGGAAAGGAAAATCTAAATCATCATGTCATCCAAGTGTCAAGCATCTTACACGTTTCTACCTAGCTGTAGGGTGGATCACTGAACCACACTATTTTAGTCAAAAATATCGCCAGCACTTTTTCAGCCCTCTTCTGGGTACAGAACCAAAATGGTACCATCTGCGCACTCGATTGAACAGAAACCACTGGCAGGTTCACAAGGACAGGACCCTCCTGGTGGTGGAGGCCTTGAGGTGTGGGAAAGGGTGATGAAGACACTTGGCAAGAGCTTTTGGACTGCATAGTGGACAGCAAGGGCTTCCAAGGACTCTGTGACCATGCAAAAGTTCGAGGTGGTGAGATTGGGGGAACCCAGCCTACACGAAATGGCATTTCTTCGGGCAATGGAAACTAGCACAAGTTCAATGAAAGCTAGGACAGCGGCCTAGGTCAAACATACAATGCACAATCTAGTTACTAGAAGGTCACTAAAACAGAAGTAGGATTCCTGGGCACAAAGCATTACATCCAACGTAACCAGAGTGTGCAACATAGTACTGCATAGTACTGCATAGTGAGAAGGTACGTAACCAGTGCGGGTTCATGTGTGTGTGTGTGTAACATCTGAATAGATGTAAAACTTCTCTCTTTTTCTTCCTTCTGTCCTCTCCCTTTTTAAACCTAGTGCAGGGGGCAGGAGCGTCATGGTAAGTCTCCTGCCAACGAAGACACTTACCATCGACGGTGATACCAGACTTGGCCAGTCTGGCGTACCTGCAACCATTCAGGAGAACTTCTATTATTCGTAGGATGCTTCGTTAATTTCGTTGTTTCATATCTAATCTGCATGTTTCAGGATTCAGTTCCTGCCGGATCATATAATGATCCATTCTTGTCTAGTGTGTGTGTGTGTGCGTTGGCTTGCAGGCATCAATAAATCATGCATCAGAAAATGCATCAGAAAACACAAGCCACCAACACACAAAGTGCAGACAGTCAGCAGGTACTACAAAACAATATGGGGAAAAGCCGCAAAGCCCCACAAATGTGGTCAGATCAGCACATTTTGCGTGAGTGTCAATCCATGTCAAGCCTCTCAGCACAATTGTAACATATGTTGACCTAGCGGCAGTTGCAAGAAGAAAACATCTTCAGGATCTCAAAGGCATGTTGCCAGAAGCCAGCCTCCCCAAGCGCTAGCATCATACCTGGAATTTGAAATCAGTCCGTTTCGCAAAGCTGCTACATTGAGTGTCACGAACAAAAATGTAGGGGGAAATGATGGAAAAAAAAGAAAAGAAAGTCGTTTGACCAGGAAGGTGAGGAGCTGTTCAAGGTGAGGCTGTCAGGTGCTAGCCTTTGGCCCTCCATCTCCTCAATTAAATTGACAGCCAATTGCCACTGCTGACCTGCGGCACACGCTGACAAAGCCGCGTTGAAGGTGACGACACTCGCCCGCAACGAGTGCCTCACCAGACTGCCACACACAACTTCTAGGCCTTCCTGCCAACGTGCCACACGGGCACAGCATGTGACCAAAGCATTTAGCAGCACAACATCGATTCTCTCAGAAGCACTGAGAGCCAAGGCTTTCTGCCAGCTCGCGGCTTGGGAAAAAGCGCTCAGGCTCAGGGTCTTCAAAGCGACATTCAAATTTCCTCCTCTGCTGTGATACGCCATCACCTCAGACTGAGGACTTTCAAGACTTTTATGACTCCAACATACTCCAGCACTCTCTTGAAGCCGAGGCCTTTCCAAAACAAGTCACTAGCTGCTGCTATGGACATAGCATTATCATGGCCATTTCCAGCCACAAGATGCCACACGCCTTAAAACAAGGATTATATATATATAATTAAAATTGTGCAAAAATGTGAAACAGAAAACAATGCAATTCAAAAATGCACATTTAAAACATGTGGAAAAAGTGTGATTTTAGACTGCGAAAAAATGTGAAAAATGTGACATTTTAGGAAAACACGTTTTTGATTAAATGTTGATTATTTTCCAATATGTGCTTAATTCTTTTGATTCACTGCCATACACCATTGAAAATTAACGTATAGGCGTAGATAATGTAGATGCTGATATATTGTGATACAGGTTTAAAAAATGTCGGGAATGTGAAAAAATGTGAAAATAAATTATTCCTAACCACATTTTCTGAAGATCCAATCTTCGTAGTTGGATAGGCGTAGCTTCCACTGCCGAGTGACCTCTTTCCAAAATGTTTCTCTCGAAAAACGAAAAATCCAAAAGCAATCAAAAGCACGCAAATGAATCAAAAGAAAATGGAAAAGAACAAGCCTTCAGAAGCGTTCAAAAATACATTGTTTGCACGTTGCTTTACATGTTTAAATCACATGTTTCACATTTTGAGAAAGAACGCATTTTCAATATATATATATATGGCACCTTTTTTAACATGTTTAATTCAAACTACTTCACAGTTTCTGTAGCTCAGTTGGCATTGATAAACATAGCAACATAGCATTGCCAAAGTGGAATTATGAATTATGAAACAAGATGCCCAAAAAATGTGCAAACATGTGATATTTTGGTTTAAGACAGCTCAGCAACGTTTCCGAGCGTTTCCTGCCAATGTCCAGCATCGACATGGGCAGCCAGTACGTTGCTTTGAACCTTGAAGCTTGCTGCGGAAACTCACGCCAAAATTGTCAGTTAAAGGAAAGTGGAGTTGTAAGACAGCCTACAAGCCCCGAAGGATGACAAGAAACTATCGAGTTGCTTTGGATGTCCCTTGACTGGCAGCGCGACAGAAACCAGAGCGGCCTCTGCCATTCCATATCACGGCTTTGACTCAAGATGGTTCCAGAGGACACCGCAGTCAGCTTCAAGCCTCCAGTCTCCAGAGTGTGAAGGACCTGATGACATGAGTGAAGATCGACTTGGGCTAAGGATAGCCATCAGCAGTTCCAACAGGCAAGACTACAAGATTAAAATTCTCAATTCCAACAATGGATCCCTTGGCCATTGGCGTCTGGTTTGTCTCAAAATCTTCGGAGTTGGAAAGCATTTGGGTCCGCAACTGCCATGGTAGTGGCTATGAAGGACACAAATACCACCAGGTAACCAGTCACCCCACCTGAACCGCCTTGAACCAGGGAGTTCCAGCCATGGCGGCATTGTGAGACACAACGGACATCCCGTGCTCCTTGCGACGGAGTAGACACCAGGCACGTACCCATGGCGCTGCAGAGACGGCAGTGTTGCAAGTGTACTCGTCGGCCTGTCACGGGCAGACGGTAAAACGCAATAGAAATGCAAGAATTATGTGCAATCAAATGTCTACACATGTTTACACGATAATGTGTGCTACAGCACTGCTTCAGCTATGCAATGTCATTTTGTGTCATTGTCTGAATTTCTGCCTCCATACGCTGCAGCAAATCTTGGAAAAGGAGGCCAATGGTGGGCCAAGCAGCTTCCTCGGGTTCTACTAGCCCAAGATCAAGCGGAGTGCCACCCATGCCTACGCATTTATGCATCTGAAAAATGAAGCAATGGATCATGTCTGCTTTGCAAGCCAGGGTCGAAAGTCATGCTGGAAGAATAGCTGCGCACATCAGCTTGCACCTGCTTTCGAATTGTAGAACTCACACAAGTCTGTCTCAGGAGGACCAGCGCAGGATTCCTCACAGTATCTCCTACCCACACAAACATCAGCAATCATAGAAATCAGCACATATCGAAACATGTGAACTCAATATGTCCAGGTTCCCAGGAGCCACAGACTTTCACAATGAAACCCAAAGTGACATTCTCAGTGACATCCTCAAGGAACCTGCGCTTCTACCATGTTTTGCATCAGGTGAAGAGCTTCGGGCCAATGATCAGAACCAGCACTCTGCCGGAGCGACAACCTGTCCGCTACTGTGCCCACAACCAAACCAAAGAGCGTGCACATGAATAGGTCCCGTAAAGCAGTAAATGGTTCAATACAGCTTTTGGGTTTTGTTTGCACCAGGGACTGATCAACTCAAGTGGTAGGCTTGCTGTAACACCAAGGAACGCTAGGTCATAGTGTATGACATCTGCTTCCGTCATTTTCTCAAATCCTTCAACCGCTGGCTTCAATGCACGAGCATAATCAAGCATATCTACATTCCTTCGGTTTATTTTGGGCAAAAGTGCCAACAATGCAACACGGAGGCCTACTACTAGCAAGTCTCCCACCAAGGGCCGCCGTTTTAAGCCCTTAGGTCCAGTTGTGACAGAGGCATACACCAGGGATGTACCCAGATATTGATTTATATTTTATTTTCATACCATAGATATCTGCACATAACGTTTGAAGCTGCATGTGTGGCAAGTCCTTCTTGCAAAAGTCTCAACCCACTGCGCCAACTGCTCTCGCCAGCCGCGCGAGCCGCCTGCTTGTATGTGACGCCGTCGTGGCGGATGAAACCTCGCAAGCACCTGCAATCCGCGATCCACGGAATTTGTGCTTGAATTGTCAATGAAATCAATGAATCTTTAGGCATCTAACATGGCCTCATCAAGTGCAAAGCCTTTTGCCAATGGGAAGCTCTGCTGCAGGCCGCCATGCAACTGTTGCAGCTGATGCTCGTTGCTTGTCGCACCTCCACCATCTGAAAGAGCACCTACAAGTAGAAACATGGACTTGCGCTTGGGACCAGAAAAGGAGCATGGCAAGCGTGGGATCTTCAACTGGAATTCAGAAGCTCCAGATCTGGCTGGTAGCCCCGTGTTCTTCTTTCAGTGACTGCCGCTGGTGAGAGGACTAATCTGGGTTCGGTGGTATTTATACGGGTAGTGATACCCATGGTTGGCCCATTCCATCCGTTTTGCGCTCACACAGTATGAATGATTATGACTCATGGTAATTACTCATGACATATGTTGTGTGCATTGTGTGTTTCAACCAGGAGTGGCTTGGAACCTGACCTGAATGGCTCGCTGCCACTGAATCTGCCTGCCACATGTGGCAATGACCTGACAAGGAAAGCACAGGAGGGACAGGAAAGAGCGTTGTGGAAACGACCTGCCCTATGGCCCTAGCCTAAGGTTGAGGAAGGCAGTTAGGAAGGCAGTTAGGATGAGTTTAGGATGTACAACTTGCCACTTCGATCGTGTCCTGGCGTCCCAACACCCACAGCTTGAGCCCAGCTGCTTTGTTGCAAGTGCGCTCCGAGATGGAGGCCTTCAGAGCCAAGAAATGTCAAGGAAGAACCCGGGGTTCATTGTAGATCATTGTACTACATTGTACCATGGCTTCCAAATTCCTGAGTCATCATTTCATGCGTTTTCAAGGCATCCTGTGCGACCTGGGGTAGGCAGGTAACTGCCAGGGTAAAAATCTTCATAGTCAAAGCAAGTCACATGGCCTAACCTGCTCCAGCTCTGCCAGAGCCCATTGACAGCGGACCGCAGCCATGTTTCCCCATGATGTGAAACCGAGTTGGCACACACAGTGCCAAGGTTGGCTGTCGGGATAAAAAGTCCATTAGGACTACAGAAATGTGAAGGATTACAGTACAAAGCTTCAAGAGTGGTGCACCTGCACCATCAAGTTCATTTCCTTATGTTGTTGCTTTCAGATATTGCTAAATGGGAAAACTGTGCAAGTGTACAATCATCCTGACATGTCAAGATGCACCAAGCAACAATGCAGCGGTTGTCAGCACTGCCTCACAAACCGGGTGTTTGCTGAAGTGAGCCACCTTTAGCAGTCAATCAAACTGCAACAGTCATATGATTCCTTCTTCTCCTTCTCCAAGCCTGAGTCAAAGAAGGGGGCGATTCACTGACCGACTGAGCGAGACAAATACGGCCTTTTTCCTGCGCAGCGCTCGCACTTTCCCACGCATGGCACCAAGGGTTCCAACATGCCCTGGCACTCAAGCGTTGCCATGTTGCCATGGCCGGGAATGGGGACCATCGGCCCTTCGGGGGCACAGGAAGGCAAAAAGATGAGCTCTCCAGCTCTCAGCTCCAGAAAGGTGAGACCGTGAGACCTAGAAGCACTTCATGACATAGCAATCGTCAAACATGTTGAACCCAAGGTACATCTAATGTACTGTACGTCTACACAGAGGCCTCTCTCATATGAGGACCATGCAAGGTAAAGACCTGCACGCAAGAAAAGAAAGAGCTGTCGCCTCACTCAAGAACTCTCATAAAGAGAAAGGGGAGAACCAAATCCATCCCAATCAAAGTATATGTCCATGGCAAAAAGTAAACATTACCTGTACAGATAAGCTCTTGTGGAAATCACCAAGACGCACACAGGTTCTACCTGTTAATCTCGTGTGATTCTTGTGCAATTTTGTGAAAACACATGACAAGGAACATACAGTAAATCTACAGTAAAGCATTCAGCAATGTGGCCGTAAACTGTACAAGGCACAATTGACAAAGGCACAAAGAAGTGCGCGACCAAATTAGCCTACATGGATAAAATCATGACCAGCGAAAAGAAATAAGTGATATACAGGTGGGTTGAGGCAAAATACTCATAGATTGCTGGAATGCAAGTGTTTCATTGCGGCAACCGAGAATCTTTGCATTGTTGGTATACTGTATGTTGCTGTATATGTATAATTATATATATATATATACATGTGTTTGTTGCTGTATATGTAAATATACAAATATATATATATATATATATAGAATTTTATAGATATACATACACACATGTAGCTGCGTTCACCAATACTTGCCTCTTGCTCCATCTCGTTCAAACGCAACAACGCGAGTCGTACCTGCCGGCCCACCTGCGCAATCCAAAGGACCCCCGCAGAGCGAAAAATGGGGCGACTTTGTGCTGGCAGTTGTCAGTTTGAGCGCAACAGCAGGATTGGAAGCATCAACAAGTGGGGTACACCAGAATCAATTGTATGGGTCGGTATTCATCCTGCTCAAGTACAGTAAGTGCGACCAGGTCTGAATCGGCCGGAGGTGAGGCAACCCAGAAACAACATGGCGGACAAGTGTGTTAGCACCTCCACCGTCAGCAGCACCCCACCTGAGCCGCTTGCAGGGTCTTCTCCTGGGTCACAATGCTTGGCACAAGGCCAGCACCTGTTTCCGCTGGGTGTGAAGGCATTTGTGACACGTGCAAGGGAAAGAAAACACATGGCTACTGCAAATGTTTTCATAATCATAGGTATGGAGGGCCTGGCCTTCCAAACACTGCTCCAAAAAGAGTGCCCACCGCCACCTGCCGAAATGTCACCGCAGGTCTGAGGGATGTCCGTTGTTACATGCATGTGTGGTTTGGGATAGTTTAGGGGTGTACACAGCCTTCAGGGCAAGAAAAATCCCTCGCGCAGGAATTGGGAGTTGAAAGTTCTCTTCAGTGGCTGATCTGCGAATCAAGTTGCTGTCCAGCCGTGGCACAGCTGCTCACACAGCTGCTGAAGGTGATGACTCTTGGCCTCAGCCGCAATGCGACGAAGGCCCCCAGCACTTGGAGCACTTGGACGAAGGAAGGGCATCATCTGATTCGCATCGATGAGATGGAATTTGATGCAGTCCTTGACCACATCTGCGCTGGCTGGAGCCTGCTGTAACTTGTCCAGGCGGTCCTTCAGAGTCTCGATCGTCCGCAAGGCCATGGAGTGCCTGAGGCTGATGGTTTTGCAGCCCTTCTGCCATTCCAAGTGACAGGCCATCAGAATTGGCAGCAAGCTGCCCTCCCCCGGTTGGATCCAGAGGACAAATTAGTATTCCTGAAGCAGGACATGAAGACTGTCCTCGTGTCGAAGAAGGATCTTGGCCATCACTTGAACCATCGCCTTGGTGTGATCTGATGCCGTGGAATTGGAGTCGCTGCGCTCCTTTCTGCGAGGTCGCTTGTTGGGCTTGTTGGTGTCTTCTTCCTTGATTCCCAAGCTTCGAAGCTGATCCTGCGTAAGCAGGTTGGCCCAAATCGAACTCGCCTTGTCGAGAGCGTCGCCCATTGGTGAGCAGGATGGCCAAGTTCAACAGGGCCGGACAGGGAAAATTATCCTCATGTAGGTCTGAGCCGCAACATGGACATGGCTGACAAATCATCTGCAGCCGTCGAAATACCCACAATGTGTTGTATTGCTTGTAGTCATGCTGTTTCACGTGTTGTGTGAGAGCACCCGGCAGAATCAGCAGCTTGTGGCAAATAAGACATTGTGTGTTGATAATTTCAATGATCAAGTCATCATGAAGAAGCTGAAGACCACATGTGATCAGGGAGTCAAATTCACTGCCTGAGGAGTCTAAGTGCCTTGCGTTGTGCATCACTCTCTGATGGTCTTGACGTTGGAAGGCACACTCAATTGCCTGGGGCGATGGCCATGCAGAATGGTCAAGTTGCGGCTTGTGAAGCACCGGATGCATCAGAAAGGCCGCAAGATGTTGAATCAATGGACAGCCACGCAAGTGAATCTCTGGGACAGGATCAAATTCCAGAATGTCTAAGGTCGGCAGCAGAGTCCCGCAGTGATCGCAATGTGGATCTTCAGAATGTTCCGCACTGAAGATCCTGCAAAGTTGCATGACCACAGGATGCAAGTCATTGGGTCCCAGCTGATGTTCCAACCGCAAATGCACTGTGATGTACGGCAGCGGTACAGATTCACCACAAATGGTGCAGTAAGACTTCAGCATTGTCATCAGATCTGAGTCTCGCCAAAGATTCTCAAACTTCCTGGTGATCAGCCAAAGGGAAATCCTTTTGAAGGCATTCAGGGGCAGTAAGTCGCCAATATGCGAGAGCAATTCAGTGGCACGGAAAATCCACAGAAGCATGAGTGGCCAGTGAGCCTGAACTCCCAACATCGCAGCCTGGAGCAATGCAGTGCATGTATGACCAGGAGTCCCATAGCCTCTAGTAGGGTTACAGGCACAACCAAACTCCTGGAACAAGGTCCACCGCAGGAGCTGCAGGTAAATCGAGCTCTCAGCCACGAGTCCCTCATGATGCTGATGGACATGGAGTGCAAGGTCATCGCCACACCTGCAGATGAAGTCACAGAACTGGCAGTGTAGAGTCAAAGCTCGCTTCAATTCCGGCAGTCTGTAGAGAAGATGTCCAAATCCAAACCACAGCAGTTGCTCCATTTTCTCCTGTGACTTCAGAGCAAGATCAGGAGGGAGAGCTGCAGCATCATGACATTGTTCACGCTCCCATTGAATCCTGGCCAAGGAGAACTGTAGGAACACCATGCAGAGATGCTTTACCCGATGTTGAGGGGGATCACAGAGACATCTTTGGACACAATTCAGATTGATCATCAGTTCTGAGGCTCGTTGTTCCATCTCGGCCCATTCAGAAGGATGTCCCTGTTTGAGATGTCTAGATAAATCTTGACGCCTTCGAAATGTCACACTGCAGTCAAAACACTCCCTCGAAATGAAGTGAAGGATGTCCGGATCGCTGAGCACATCTTCACAGCGATTCGTCTGTACTGCCTGATCGAAAAGGCACTTGGCAGTGACACGATTCCAGTTAGAATCATGCAGCGCCTGTTGCGCAGAATGAAACTTCTGGATGTGCTGAGCCAGGCCATGTTTAGTCGTATAGGCCTTGCCACAAATGTCACATACAAGCTGAAGTTGCATGTCGATGTCGCAATACACAGCAGCTAAATCACGTTCTGTAATCAGCATAGCTAATTGTCGCCAAATAATGCAACGATGATATTGTGCAAAAGCAATTGAGCACAGCTGGCATGGAGTGTCGACAAGCACATGTTGACAATAGTACTGTAGAACAGGCAGATGGTTCTTGTACGTCTGGGAATGATCATCACTCCAGTGTCGCATCAGTCCCGTCTGAGTGATGTGAAACTTGCCACACAAAACACAATGATTCAAGAAGTACATCAGTAGGGAGGCATGCAGACAAAGATCAGCTACTTGATGTGCCCGAGCAAATTGCAGAAGCTCTTGGACCCGCAGTCTGTGCTCAACCTGATCAATCTCCTGCAAGTCAGCAGTACAAATGTATTGCAGATGATAATGAAATCTATGCCATGTACTGAATCGCAAGTGACATCTTGGACAGGTAGGTACGCTGGTAACAGGTTGATTCGACATAAGGCGTAGCAGACCTGATCGGCTGCCATGTGCCACTGTGCAATGCCTGCGCAGGGCTGCAAGTGTGAGAAACACATGATGACAGTCAGGGCATTCATGCTGTGTCTGGACCTCGTCAAACGTCCTGGCTTCGGTCACTTGCGCATGCACTTTCGCAATGACCTGCAGTAAGTGGTCATAACAAGGTAGCGGCGTGAGTTTCAGAATGTCATCATCCTCCAACTGTTGATGTCTGTTGAGTGATTGACGGGCAGTCTGAAGGCACAGATCACGCAGTCGCATCAAGGGATCCGGCAAGTTACATCTTCGAAGAAAATCTGAATTGCTTTCATGAGATAAGTGAACAGGATCACGGTGAATTCTGCGTAACTGCCTGATGCTGAATCTGTAAAATGAGAGCAATGTGACCTCTGTGAATCCCGTGGCAATGATACCGTATCTGAGACAAGTGAATATGCATTGGTACCACAATTTGACACGTTGTGTCTTGGTCATCCTTTGTGTGTAGAGCCAGCGGTGAAGTTGGTGAGCCGACTGATCACTGTGCTTCAATCGAAGGGACATAGTCTCTTTTTCAAAGTTGTAGTAGGAGAAAACCACACCAAGATATCTGAATGATTTAACAAGGCGTATCAAGGTGTGTTTCCCATGTGCTCTGGGAATCTTGAGAAAAGTACCCTGTTGTGTTCGCACAACATATCGTCGTTGCATTTTTCCCACCAAGCGCCCACGCATGCGCATGGTCACCGTTGTCTTGGTCAAATTCACTTCAAGATGTGCAGATTCAATCAAATCTAAGAGTTTGCCAAAGGCGTTCACCAAGTTCAGAAAGCTCGCCTCATCATGAAAAGTTTGATGGGAACAGATGTCGTCAGCAAAAATTGTAATGCAATACATCAGAAATTCAGATGAAATTGTGTGACCAATGTCCAGCATCAGGGCTGAGATGAAAACTGTCCAAAGGCATGGTGCTGCACGGCAGCCTTGTCGAATGCCACGTCTGGTTGTCACAGACCTGAAAGCGCCTCGGTGTTCAAATTCATATCTTGTAGTGTTGTAGACGCATTTCAGGAGAGAGATCAGGTCAGCTGATATGTCAAGTTGTTCCATGCTCTGGAAGAGCCTGGTGCGATCAACCATGTCAAAAGCCCGAGTAAGATCAAGGCTCAGCGTCATTCCACCAGTGAGAGGAGGAATCATGAGTCCTTGTTTCAAGCTATGAATAGGGTGACTCAATGCATCCAATGATTGACGAACCACCCGACAATGATGTGCTAATCTGTGGATTGCGTCCTCTGTACCACGGCCTCTGGCATAGGCAAATTGTGGCAACCTGTTCAAAAGGGTCTGAATCTGTTGTTGAATAGCAGATGTGACCAAACCCATCGCCGTCTTACCTGTCGGCTCCAACAGGGCAATAGGACGCAATTCTGATGGGTGTTGGCCCTTCTTACCTGGCTTCACTAACAGGGCAATTGTTCCAATTCCCCAAGATTCAGGAAATTGCTGTCGACCACAGCAGTCATGAAATAATGGGTCAAGAAAATTTGCAATTGGCTCAGCCCCATACTTCCAGAACGGAGCAGGCGAAAAAGAAGGGGCCAAGGCCTTGTTGGATGGCAATGACTGCAACCCATGTGCAAATTCCTGAGGTGTGAATGGCCAGTCAAACTCAGGGATACAGGTAGAAGGGATTCCATCTGAGTACAGGTCATGATACCATTGTTGGAGCCAGTCAGCAGCAGCGTCAGATCCCAGTAGTTCACCTTGTGAAGATCGCAACATGATTCGCTTGGCTGGTTGTTTGGGTGCAAGTGATCTGATATGTTGAAATAAGGTGAAGTGATCTTTCGCCTTCTCAGCTTGATCAGCCGCATGAAACACCTGGTCAAGTCTTTGCTTTCGTGACTGTTTGGCAGCAAGGTTCATAGCTTTGCGCGCAAGATTGCGTTGACAAACATGATTCCATGCAGCAAAGAGCCCGGCCAAATCAGCAGTGTGGATCTTGCGGAGCTTCCACGTGTGATCCTGAAAGCGCTTGAATGGTCTGGCATCAGTGCGTGGAGGTCTGTCAGGATTTGATCGTGAATGCAAGGAATTGACCTTGATCTGCATGAGATGTTGATGTAGTGAAGAAAGATCAGGTTGATGTTGTTGTGCAAGCTCATGGACAGTGTCATGAACAGTGGTAACAAAGTCCGCAAAAACAGAGTCTCGATTGAGGCAATGTTGATGCAATTGAAGGCGCTGTTGCCTTGTCCATCCCAATGGCTGTGTTTTGTGTGCAGGGTACCAGACACGCCTCAGTGATGTCAACAATGGCACATGATATGCTCCTGTTATCGGCACCAAGGTGAAGTCACGCAGATGCTTGACGTCTCTTGCTAGTTGATCAGCATGAATACGACGAGTGCAAATGTAGTCAATTCTGGAATGTTGGTCACCGAATTCATAAGTTGCAGTGTCGTGGATATTCCAAGTATTAAGTGCACTCAAGTCAAACTGCAGTAGGAGCTGGTGCCAGTGATTGACATCTGAATGTCTTGGGCCATGACTCCTTGTGTCTCCACATTTGAACGTTGGGATCCCCACAGCGTCGGAACGTTGGTCTGTCGAACAATTAAAGTCACCAGCCAAAACCAAAACATTCTTATTGGAAAGAGTTTGCAATAAGGCAAAAAGTTGATGCCAAATCTGCTGTCTTTGTTCCATGTGCGAGGGAATGCATGTGAACTGATATACGTTGATAAGATCAATGCATCTGTTCTTGCCATGGATACGAAGTTGAAGCACTCTTCCAGGGACATGTTCATACCAAGTCAGTTCAGATGGATTGCAAATTCTTTTAGAAACCATACACAAGAGGCCAGCCTGCTTTGATTGAGAACCCGAGTGTACCATCATGTACTTCTCCGAGACCCAGTCGCGGGTGAATGGCCAGTGAGTTTCCTGAAAGAATAAAATGTCGATGTCTTGGTTGTCCAGCCACATCATCAGAAAATCCCAATGTGAAGGTGGAAGCCCGTTGCAATTCCATGAAAAACAGGTAAAACGCTGTCGCAATGTTGGCTTGGATGGTTGTACATTCTTTGACTGCTGAGGGATTGGAGGAATTTTCACAGTAGTGCCCAGTTGGGTGGCAGTGTGCAATTTCCCTTTGTACCACGTCACTCCGTGTCGTTCTGCCCGATGGACAGCTCTTCTGAAGCTTCTCTTACAAACTGTACGTTTCTTACTGGTCTGAGGTGATTCGTAAATCTTTTGGGGCCCCGATCCATGATGTTTCGCAGTGTTAAATGAATGTCGAAATTCAGAAAACAAGTCTGCTCTCATGTCATCCATGGTGATGACACAACCCTCACCCCACTTTGGACTCCACCAAGTATCTGAATGAAAAGAAAGCAACAAAATCGTCAAAATCTGTGCCAACATGTCCAAAGCCCGGAATTGGGACCGGGGTACAGCTCGGAGTGTCGATCAAGACCAAAAGCTTGTCACTGTGTACTCAATGAAGAACTGGAAGTACCAATAGTGAAGATACACCCAATCAAGGGAAGCTTTATTCCAGCAGGAAAGGGTGAAATACAAGCAAAGAAAGATGTCGAAACCAGGTGTAGGCAGCTGTCAGCAGTGAAGAATTATAGTCCAAGTAGATACGTGCAAGGTCCAGTGAAATGCTCAGGGAGACCACCCCAATTGCAAGAGGACCTGCTCAGGATCCTTTCAGCGCTGTCAACAGCAGAGCCGCCACAGCACCGATCGTCAACTGAGACAGCAGTTCGCCAATGCACCGCGGGGCAATACGAGCGGGTGGCAGTGGCTGCAGCAGACACCTAGGATCAACAGATCCTTGATCGCGGCACTCGCGGCCGCACAGGGGCTTGTGTGTGTGTGAGTGCGTTGCGGTCGTGCGTGCCGCCGTGTGTGAGTGCGTGGGTGCGTGGGTGCGTGGGTGCGTGGGTGCGTGGGTGCGTGGGTGCGTGGGTGCGTGGGTGCGTGGGTGCGTGGGTGCGTGGGTGCGTGGGTGCGCGTGCGCGTGCGCGCGCGTGTGTGTGTGTGTGTGCGTGTTGGCATTCTGTTGCTGAGGTTTCTCCCATGAATTCTTCTCACCATGGAAGGTACCACCAAAAGCCCAAAGCCTCATGGATCTTTTGGAGGTAGCCTCGGGCTTTGTCAAGACCTGCTCAGTTCATATGCTTCAAGTGGCTGCGTGTCCGGAATCCCTTCATGGATCCTATCATGAACTGGAGCTGGCCATGAGCTTGCAGCACCCGCCTGCGTTGGCGCCCATGTTCATCTCAGGGTCAAAACGGATGGCTCCATTGGCACCACCGCATTGAGGCCACTCCTTGATGCGCTGGTCATAGGTGCCAGAGTCGTGCCAAGCCAAGCGAACCAGAATGGGATGGCAATTGCGAGTTTCAATCAATTCCTTCAACTCCTTAGCTCAAGCTGTCAGTTGCTGCTGGCTGCATCAGCATCCCTCTCCTAAACCACCTCAACTGCACCAGGGCTTCAAAGAAGTTGTCGAACGTCATTCATTCAACCAAACCAACTGGGAGACTGCTAAAGGAAATGGATTGCATGATCATACTTGTTTGTGGTAGCTGTGTTTGGTTCGCTGCACTCAATCCAAACGTGATATTCATAGCTGTTGCCTGCTAGAACAACATTCCCATGCCAAAACCACCAAACCTGCCCTCTGCAGGACGAGAATCCTTCTTGCAAGCTCGCAGCTCCGTCACTTGGGCGCTGCCGCCACCCAACATCTGATAGCATCCCTCAGAGCAAGCGTTACCCATGACTGGCGGAAGACTGGCACAAACAGTCAGGCAGAAAAATGCGGGAAAAGCTGGAGCCAAATGCAACCACAGGCAAGATCACAACTGCAAAATGCAGTTCGTTTTTTGCTTGCCGACTGCCTTTGAAAGCCTCTGTTTCAATCCGCTGAGGAAGTGAAGCGGGAAAAGCTAAAAAAATAGGCTCCAAACTCCAAGCAGGTATTCCGAACTGCTGTCTGTTGCCGTTTTTCTCCAAGTCTCGCCAAGAATACGGCAAGCAACTCATAGAACTTGTTCAAAGAGATATTACTTATATATATATATATCGATGCATCTATGGTATCTGCTGGAAACGATTCTTCCTGTTGGCTTTTCAGAAGCCATGATCTCGTCACTCCTGTGAGTTTACACTTCAGCCCGGTCAGTCGGGCAAATGCTATTTAATTATTTCAAATTGTGGGTCAAAACGGGTCCTGTCACAGGAAGCACGCATTTCCAAAGACATTTTTTCTACCGCAGTGGCATAGGCAAGCATCACAGCATCGTGGGTTCCTTCCATGGCTATGTGCCCCAAGCACATAGCCTCGCGCCAACGAACAGCGCGACCCAGCGTTGTCACCGCTGCTGCCCAGCTGGTTTCACCAGCGGCATCACTGGCAGCTTGCTGTACCAGGACGAGGCTTTGTGGCCACTGATGGGCGGGACAAGCTGTGATGGCCGTAGTGAAGGAAACCACGTTGGCTTCGCCTCGGAAAGGAAAATCTAAATCATCATGTCATCCAAGTGTCAAGCATCTTACACGTTTCTACCTAGCTGTAGGGTGGATCACTGAACCACACTATTTTAGTCAAAAATATCGCCAGCACTTTTTCAGCCCTCTTCTGGGTACAGAACCAAAATGGTACCATCTGCGCACTCGATTGAACAGAAACCACTGGCAGGTTCACAAGGACAGGACCCTCCTGGTGGTGGAGGCCTTGAGGTGTGGGAAAGGGTGATGAAGACACTTGGCAAGAGCTTTTGGACTGCATAGTGGACAGCAAGGGCTTCCAAGGACTCTGTGACCATGCAAAAGTTCGAGGTGGTGAGATTGGGGGAACCCAGCCTACACGAAATGGCATTTCTTCGGGCAATGGAAACTAGCACAAGTTCAATGAAAGCTAGGACAGCGGCCTAGGTCAAACATACAATGCACAATCTAGTTACTAGAAGGTCACTAAAACAGAAGTAGGATTCCTGGGCACAAAGCATTACATTGGCAACATGACAGCTACCAACGTAACCAGAGTGTGCAACATAGTACTGCATAGTACTGCATAGTGAGGAGGTACGTAACCAGTGCGGGTTCATGTGTGTGTGTGTAACATCTGAATAGATGTAAAACTTCTCTCTTTTTCTTCCTTCTGTCCTCTCCCTTTTTAAACCTAGTGCAGGGGGCAGGAGCGTCATGGTAAGTCTCCTGCCAACGAAGACACTTACCATCGACGGTGATACCAGACTTGGCCAGTCTGGCGTACCTGCAACCATTCAGGAGAACTTCTATTATTCGTAGGATGCTTCGTTAATTTCGTTGTTTCATATCTAATCTGCATGTTTCAGGATTCAGTTCCTGCCGGATCATATAATGATCCATTCTTGTCTAGTGTGATTTCCATGGTGGCTCCGACATGGTGCCATGGAGCCATTTGAGGCAACCCTTTTTAGGGTGAGTGATGACTGTCTTGACTTCCGAATTTACACATTTTAATTTGGTAATTCATTTAAGTAAATTGCAACAGCTGGCCTTACGGTTTGTCAACCATTTTGAGATCTCCTGCTGCTCCGGATGTCCCAGGGATTACTCGTCGATGTGTTTCTTCTACTGTGAAGCCGTGCCGAACTTCAGAAACCTCCTTTTTTCGCAGCTGCTTTTGACGATCCATGACAACAGCATTTAATACAGGAATCAGGCAGGCACACGTCTTGCAGGTATGGTTTTCTTGCTTTTTGGTTCTCTGGTGAGGTGAAACATATTGTGCACCTAATTCGTGGGAATTTGTAAGCCGTTATATGCCCTTGTGGCTGACTGGAACACGGGCCTGGATTGGCACAACGCACGAACTTTAGGTCTAGGAGCTGAATCCTGTTGTTTTACTAATTGTTTTGGTTTTCCTGTCTGTCATCAACTAGTCCCCCATTTGGTCCCTAATTCCCCCGCGTGCTTCTCCGTAATGTGTCGTGGGGTTTAGGTGCGTGCGCTGTTTTGGTCAGGTCCGTTTCGCCGTGTAGGTTGGTTCCGGAGGTCCGTCTGTTCCCCTCCCCCCCCTGCGCTGTTTTTGGCCTTTTGCCCTTCGTGTGTCCGCTTTTTTCTTCCTCTTGCCTTTCAGGGTTGACCCGGCTCTGGCCGGGTGTGTGTGTGTGTGTAACATCTGAATAGATGTAAAACTTCTCTCTTTTTCTTCCTTCTGTCCTCTCCCTTTTTAAACCTAGTGCAGGGGGCAGGAGCGTCATGGTAAGTCTCCTGCCAACGAAGACACTTACCATCGACGGTGATACCAGACTTGGCCAGTCTGGCGTACCTGCAACCATTCAGGAGAACTTCTATTATTCGTAGGATGCTTCGTGCTATCTAATCTGCATGTTTCAGGATTCGTTCCTGCCGGAACATATAATGATCCATTCTTGCCTGTGCTGTGTGTGCGTGTGCGTTGGCTTGCAGGCATCAATAAATCATGATCAAAAATGCATCAGAAATCACAAGCCACCAACACAACAAAGTGCAGACCAAAGCTCAGCTGGTGGCAAATCACTGTCAAAATCGGCAAACAAAATAAAATAGATCGGGGATCCTAGACAAACGTCTCAAAAAGTGCAAAGGGCATGTGATGAAAAGTGGTGCAGACCATCCACTTGTGCCTCATCTATTTTCCAAGTGATGGTAGTCCAATGCAACACCAGTGTGCAGTCCCTCCTCAAATAGCAGAAAGCTTCGTGCCAACACGCTAGTTCCATTTAGACCTGTTAACACAAGCCATCCTAACGTAACTATGTGCAAAATAGGGTTCCAATTTTGGCGGGATCGCTGTTCAAGAATTGGAAATACATCTGCTGCGACGGATCTTTTCAAATGGTCAAAGGATGTTAGCCAGAAACCGACACATGTTCACGGCATCATGTCACCCACATCCGGACAAGGACGTGCAGAGAGTGTGCATCTGCGTATCAATAGTGCGCGAATTGCTGCGGTTTTAAACGTATGGTGGCTGCAGAAGGGTCTGCCACGGGTGCGAGCGTCCGTTTGCAAAAGCTGCCGACAACAAGCGAACAAATTGTCGCTCCACTTGCACTTCAAAATGCTAACCAAAATAACCGTCAAAAGCACTTCTGGAAGATGAGGTCGGAAAAGCGCGCACGAGACTGTAGCGAGAGCTGGATTGCGAGAAAGAAAATTGAAAAATTGACAGACGCAAACAAGCAAACGATTTCAGGTCCGAAATGATGTCAACTCGATGGTGCGCTCGTGCTCTGTGGGATTCCAACTCGTTGTGATGAAACGCATTGGCACGGCTGCGCGCAGGAAACAATAGTGACGCAGTTCCTGATTTGCGAACTGATATGCGTGATTGCAGCAGGAAGTTGCTAAACGCATTATGGCTGGCTGCGCAACCAGGGGAATTGGGCTACAACAGAACGTGTACCTCAGAGAAGACATAGCTAGCTCAGACAAAAGCAGGTCAGAGAAGAAGCAGCCCAGATAAGGCAGCTCAGAGAAAAAGTAGCTAAGAGAAGAGGCACTTCAGCGAAGAGTTCGGTCAGCGAAAGAGCGGTTCGGTGAAGAAGTAGTTCAATGAAAACGTCGTTCACAAAAGACTTGGTTTAGGGAATGGGTAACTCAACGAAGAAATAATGTCATTCATGCATCCACAACCACTCATTCGTTGGTTCGTTCCTTCCTTCATGCATTCATGCATTCATGCATCCATACATATATGCATTCATTTGTTCATTCATTCGTTCATTTCATTTCATTTCATTTCATTTCATTCCATTCCATTCCATTCCATTCCATTCCTTCATTCATTCATTCATTCATTTCATTTCACTTCACTTCAATTCATTTCATGTCATTTCAGTTGATTTGATTTCATTTCATTCATTCATTGAATTTATTCATTCATTCATTTCATACATTCCCTCATTTCATTCAGTCATTCATTTGTGCACTCATTCACTCACTCCTTGATTCATTTCATGTCGTTTCATGACATGTCATGTCACGTCATGTCATGCCATTTCATTTCATTTCGTTTCGTTTCATTTCATTCATGTCATTTCATGTCATTTCACGTCATCATCTAATTCATTGTATTCACCTCATGTTATTTCATGTCATTTCATGCCCTTTCCTTTCCTTCCATTACAATTCGTTCTTCGGTTCATTTCATTCATTTAATTTCGTTTCATTCCATTCCATTCACATTTCATTCCATTCATTCCTTCATTGATTTCTTTCCTATCATTTCATTTCGTTTCACTCAGAAATCTCATTCAATTCATTCATTATGGTCGATTTTTTCATTTCATTCATTCATTCGTTCGTTCGTTCATTCATTCATTCGTTCGTTCGTTTGTTGGTTCCATGCTTTCCTTCCTTTCTTCCTTCTTTCCTTCCTTCATTCAGTCATTCTTTCATGTCCTTCATTAATTCATTCAATTTCTTCAATCATGCATTCATGCGTTTTTTTCACTCACTCACTCACTCATTCACTCACCCATTCAGTTGTTCATTCCTTCATTCATTCATTCATTCCTTCCTTCCTTCATTCATTCAGTCAGTCAGTCAGTCAGTCAGTCAATCCTTCATTGGTTTGTTTGTTCGTTCACATCCATTTATTTCATCAACCATTCATTCATTCATTCATTCATTTCATTCATTCATTCGTTCTTTCATTCATTGATTCATTCATTCCTACCTTCCTTCATCCATTTGTTTGGATTCAATCTTTTCATTCATTCCATTCATGTGAATCATTTCAATCATT